AGGTATGCATAGTTGTACAGCTATTACAGGTACACCACTTCCACATCACACACCAGTTAAACCAATTAAATTGTCCGTTGGATTACATTTCACTTTTAATATACTGAGTGTTTTCGTATGGGTTTTTAAAACATTTTCTATTCACTAAAACTATTTATAAAACACTTATACAGAGACTTACAAAGTGATAATGGACATCAAGATCATAATTGTACTAGTTTGTATTATTGTTTGCGTGAGCGTGGGCGGCCATGCTAGAGGCAATAATAATAAACAACCCAAAGGGCAAGGTAAATTATTAATATGGTGCTCATATACACGTGCATTGTTCACGTGATTATGTAACAGTAAAGAGCCTATATTCATTTTTAGGGGGAGGGGGTCAATGTAGCTGTACTGGGCATCAAAACAAATTTTGTGGCAGTCGTGCAAAACTGGGCTCTCGTAAGCTGACGGGAACCTGTGATCAAGACTCTCTCTACAATTGCCCGGACCCAAATGGTCAAGCTCAGTTTGAAGTGAAATGTACAAACGTAGGTAATCCTACAGCAACGCACTCTAAGACATGTAGAATCGCCGCACGAAATGGGCAAGATGATTCCAGCTATACATAGACTTACACCCCTAACCTTGATCACATTTTAGGATGAATACTGTGTTTTGAAATAAGTGTTCATATGTATTACATTCAATTGTGTATCAATAAATTTAATTAAATATCAAATGTGTGTAGTATTTTTTAATATAAATATTTTTAAAATTATTTTTCAATATAATTTGTATGCTCTGTATTACAGAAAGCCTTAAAATTATAATAATCTTATATGAAAGTTTATTAATGTTGATTAAACTACTAGTATAAATTATTTTTAATCATGCAATTTTGCAATTTTTAAAATTAACAGCAACTTATTTTTAATTTAATTATAACCACTATTATAAATCATTGAACACATAGAAAATTATAATTTAAAAATCTAATTACTATTTTAAAATAGTATTTCACAATTATGTTTATTAAAGCATAAAATAACCTAAATTACACACATACTATTGAATATTATTAATAACTATTGCCAGTTTAATTATAATAATTACACGTTAACTAGGTAAAAAATTAATTTTATTTCAATAATTATTTGTTATGAATTCACAGAATATTCTTGAATTTAAAAATACAAAAACATTTTGAATCCAAATTATTTCGCAGAAAGTCTTTTGCGAAACCCTTTCGCGATCTCAATGTACTCATCGTAGGGGACGACCAGTTTTTGGACAGTCGGGTCTTTTTCTATGGTATTCCTGTAGTCATACAACTCCGGCAACTCTGTCCGGAAATAGTCGTCCCACTTATGGCCCGATAGGTCCACACAAAGAGGCAATAAGTGTAATAAAGGCGCTATCATATAGTCGGTCAGCCCCGGGAGCTCAGCGCCTACACATAAAAAACACATTAAGTGCTACAAAAACTACCGGTGTTTATATGATAGTGTGTGTCCATACCCGACAAATACTTAGCACCGACCCTACGCTTAGCCAATAAATCGTTAGCCTTTTTGAGGGCCGCCCGAGTGGAGTCCCATACCCGGGTCAGGTCGGGCTCAGTGAACACGTACTTCAGGCCAACGAAGTACTCGTTGATAGTCTCGATAAACACCCGATCGGAGGCCCGGGTGTAGGGGTCAGTGGACCGGAGTTGGCGTTTCCCGGGAAGGGTCTCATCCAAGTAGTCGGCGATTACGAGCGACTCGTATAGGATTTTATTGTCGGCCCCGAACTCAATGGTGGGTACCTTTCCCAAGGGGTTGCGCTCCACAAACCAGTCCGGTTTGTCCCATATGTTCACATGTATGACCTCATGCCTGTCCACCGTAGGTATGATTACAGTGGATTAGTTGAGAAGTATGGAAATAGAAAAAGTTTTCAAAATTAATTTAATTAATTATTAATTGTTAATAATGTGTTTGCTATGTAATAGTGAGTCAAATAAATTTGATTTGAGATTTTCAATGAATATTAAAGTCTGAGTAAAACGTTTGAATTGTTAGGGACTATGACTGTTGTAATAATAATATACCAGTTTATCTTATCAATGTAATATTTTCCCATAAACATTTTGGTTATCATAATTGAACGTACTGCACTAACAACTATAATATAAGTGTCACTGATAATGTACAATATTTGTGATGCAACTTATTATCAACGTTAATATGTTACTAGTATAATAATTTAAAATCTAAATAAAATTATAATCTAACTGGTACAATATTAAAATTATTTATTTCTTTCTAAAAAAGTAAAATTATTGTTCATATTAATAAGTAAAACAGACACTGTATTTAGCATGATGTATTTCTATGAGGGGAACGGTATGTAGTACTCACGGTATGTCTTTGGCGGTCAACACCATGAGCACCCTCTGGGCGAAAGGGCTGGTGTGGTCGCTATACACACGCAGTAGCCCCGGGTTAGCCCTGGGAGGATAGGGATCGCCTATTTGTTTATAAAAATGAGACAGCATATTTTATAATAAAACATTTGCTAATCATTCAAAACAAAAATAATAGTAAAATATAAAAACCTTTTTTCAAATTATTCGCCAAATGAGACATCATTTTCACACGATTTTTGTAAATCAAATACAAAACCAAAAACTTTATAATACTTTTGAGTTTTGAGAATATTTTATTATTTCAGAAATATAACACTTAAAATAAATGCCAAAAATAAATAGATCCAGTTACTTATATACAGTTGATTAATATGAAAATAGTAAGAGGGTAAGGGATTCATATACCGGTGCACATGCGCTGTGAGTTAGGGGGTACCGTAACCCTGGGAGTATGGCATTGAATATAAGACTTTTGTCTAACAAATAGCATATATTAGGTAATACCACAACCTATGAGGGGAACTACACCTCACTATGTGCTGGACAGACACTTTGAAACAGACATATAGTTATTTCTATGGTGAGTTGAATAGTAGGTTGTTATTGCACTGTAAGGTCTGTGAAGACCTTGGTGATTGGTGTTAAGTTACGATTGAAAACGTTTTTAGTGTCTGATTGTAAATTGCATTTCAAAATAAACAAATTATTGAATATTTTTTGATGCAATCAATAGTTTAATGATAAAAACTTATCAAATAATTGTAAATTGTGTTTATCACTCAATTACTCAAATTTTATTTTTTAATTTACTTAATTGTAATTATGAATTTAATTCAACATAATGTTAGTAATGAATTTATAAATATTTATAATAAAAATTAAATTTTAAAACTATTTTATACTTAAAATAAGAGAAAGGTGCTAAATATAGCTGAACTAGGTGAAAAACTAGTTGACTAGTAATTCACTTATATTGCTCCAAGAAACACATATAAATCACATTTTATTTTATATAATACAATAAATACTTGCATTTTAAGTCCATTTGTAACTATATTTATATGCAACCAAATACCCTGATACCGTAGTATGCTCATATAATGTAAAGTAGCCTGTTGTCATAAATAGTAATCTAATATAAAGTATTAAAATAATTTTGTATAATACACAATAAGTTTAAGAGTATGAATTTATAATTAAATTTCAAATAAAATAATTTGCATAGAATCATATTTTTTGGTAATTATTATAAAATAAATATTTTTATTAATATTTAAGATGAATTACTTTTAAATTAAGTTATTTAATATGGAAAAGCGGGTCTAAATTTGTAGATATAATTATTATTATACAGTTTATAAATTAAACATTAGTACAATACACAATACAAATATGTGACACGTGTGAAGTATGATGTTAAAATTAATTTAAACCTAAATTTGTTGAATATTATAGTTATAATTTAATCAAGCATCATAATTTTCATTAAAATTGCATAATATTTTTATGTTAAATGGTTTGTGACTTTAGTGAATTTATACATGGATGATTTTATTATATACGGTATATACACTGTATACAGTATAAGAAAGGTGTTATTTTAAAGTTAATTTTTTTAAGCAAAACAATAAACAGTTAAAAATAAAATAGATATTCAAATCAAACCAAATGTTTATAACAAAATATTTAAAAACTTATTTATGTTAAAAAACAACTCTAAAAAACACTGTACTGTCTCTCGGAACAGCACCTGTATATATAAACACAATAATATAAATACAGAATATTGATACCCAATAGGTTTACTCGTACTGTGCCCTCACCGGCCCTTACCTAACTTTACGGTTGAGGTCCGCCTACCGATGCGGCCGTTCGCCGGCTGCCGAACACTCGTCAACCGATGAGGTCTTTACCGATGCTTTGGGTGTTGTGTTGAGTCCACCGATTGATTACTGAAGCAATACTTTTGGTGTTTTAAAAGTAGTTTAAAATTAAGGATACTTTTAGAAGTAAGACAGGACTAGGGTTATGACACACCGACACTGGGTTATGACATACATCTAGTACTGGCAATAAACTAAAGTTAAGTGAAAATAGTATAAGAATATGAATATATTGCAGCTATTCTTGTAATTGTAATATTAATGAATCATTTAATATACTAGCATTTAGTAATCAATTTATAAGCATCATTATCAATACATTAATTATTATTTATAACAATTATAATATTATTATTATTTATAACAATATTGTATTGCTATGTTACCCGGTAGAATTTGACGTTTATATACTGTATAAACAATTCCCTACTCCCAACCCGCAACTTATACAAATATATTCAAATACGTTGCATAATAATTATGAGCCCGGTATTATTATTACGTAGTTGGTTACGACTTGCAAATATGTTTGAACCTTATCTAGTTTATCTGAGTTAGTATTTTGTTGCGTAAAAATCTACTTGATCAATATAGTTATTTTGATAGTACTATTTTGTTAAAACGATGTAAACAAGGTAATTAGGATAAATAATAATTAAGGAAACACAAGATTACAATATCAATTTCATCACTTAATTATTTATATAACATATTTCATAATAACTTCACATTTATGTGTAGCTATAAAGCTATAAAAATAATAGTTTTCCAATATTTGATTGCCATTTCAAATAAATTACATTATAGCTCACAAATAGTTTTATTATTTATATTTACCTGTAATTGACTGAATTTAAAATGATATTACAGTTTTTGTTTCAATTTTCAAAAATTTATTAATCGATGAAAAGGAATAAAATATTTAAAGATATTTTATATTTAAGCAAATGCATATTAATAGTTTAATTTAATTACAAATAAAAAATATTAAATACTCTAGATTAGATAGCAGTAATTATGATAAAAATAGTATTAAATAACTATTAAATAAATTCAATGAAATAATTGTTGACAGACATAGCCCTAAAGCCTAACGACATGCCTATAAGAGCCCTTAAATTGGACTAAAATGATATGAAAATAATAAAATAAAATTAATTTTTCTAGTACCATGTATTATAGACTATAATTTATAGTTAAGTTAATTAGTGCATAATAAAAAATAAATGTGAAATAGGCTTTTTAATAAAAATTAAATTAATTTTTTCAAAATACTAATAACAGACACCAAGGTAAAATATTCAAGATATTCTTTTATTAATGTTTTAAAATAACATAAAATTCTTGATTAAAATAAAATCACTTTTAATAAGCCAAACAAATACCGGTTCACGACATAATTGGCATTACTTTTTAAATAGCTTTGAACGCATGTCTCGATTACGGGCTACCAGTGCCTCGTGGGACTGACACACTTTCTGGACAGTGGGGTCGGTAGGCATTTGGCGCCAGTAGTCGTATAGAGCGGGCAACCACTTAGGCATGAGTTCCTCCCTGTCCTGACCCGCCAGGTCTACCAATACAACGAATCCCAAAATCATTGGCCACACCATATAGTCGGCTAGTCCTGGCTGTTCAGCACCTGTAGTATGTGGGAAGTCATTATTTAACACAATACAAGTACACGTTTTTAAAAATCCATAAATAGCTATTATATGCAAAAATTGTAATATTAATTTCAGTATAATGCTAGTTACTAATTTATTTTAAATATATTTATCAAGGTAATATGGACAGGTATGTCTGCGTACACTACCGGATATAAAC